ATATTAAAATATAGAATACTTTTTATCACCATAAAATAAATCGAGTTTGGTTTTTAAAATGTCCAATGACGGAGCATTTACAATGTCATCAGGCAATGCGTTCCACGGGCTAACAGTCTATTCGAGAAAAAATATTTTCTACAATCCTTTTTTGCCAATCGAGTACATAAACTGATCTGTTGAAAACTGGTGTTGACATTGGCTTTACTACACAACTGTGGGCAAATCGCAGGGTCCACCATACCGTAAAGTATTCGATTGACCAAAATCAAATCGCCTCTAATTCTGCGGTATTCGAGAAAAGGGAGATTTAGCTTTACCAATCTTAAATTGTAATCCAAATTTTTAAAAGACTTTAGAATTTTGGTAGCTCTTCTCTGAACGTTTTCTAACTCGTTAATTGGACCTTTTCTATATGGACTCCAAACTTCAACAGCAAGTTCCAGACGTGAGCGAACCAACGACTTGTAGATACAGGTGAAAGCTTCGTCAGACAAGCAACTGAAATTTCTAGATAGTATTCCTAACATGGTGTTAGATTTTTTTATTCGATTCAAAACATGGTCTTTAAATTGTAGGCGATCATCATTTATCACACCCAGGTCAGGGATACTATTCACCCTTGTCAAGACCCGAGCTACATCATCTGAATCGGTAATAAAATAGTCCCTCGATAAACATATGCCTAATGTCAGCAAGCTGCATTTACTGACATTAATCTTCAGATTTCATTTGTGGCACATTACATTATCCACAACTGTCAGGGTTTTAGCTGCGATCGGGAAATTAACATGCAAAGGGTATGAATACATTGTGATAGTGGTGATAGACGAATGGCAAGAAAGCAGGTAAAAATAGCAGCCAATTCGCGGGGTGTACAGAGTTGTTTAAATAAGTAGACCCGGGAAGTTTGAAAGGAGAAAAAATATAGTTCGGTTGGTGTTGGCGAAAGCTGGTCGGTAGTAATTGGTAGTAAAATAAAAAACTCTCGAAGTTACGCTGTTAGTTCGTGCAGTTAGTGGAAGCAGTTACGTCGGTGGTTGGTACAGTTAGTGAAAGAAGTTACGTCGGTTTAGCTGCTATTTTTACCTGCTTTCCTGCCATTCGTCTATCACCATTATCACAATGTATTCATACCCTTTGCATGTTAATTTCCCGGTCGCAGCTAAAACCCTGACACACAACATTACATTATCCAAATTACCCTGTAACGCTGCCCCATCTTGCGGCACGGATATTGTTCAAAAAATTTTAGCATCGTCGGCAGATAGGAAGATATTGTTGCAAACTGAGTAAAAATCGTTGATGTAATTCACAAATAAAAGTGAACCCTGAGTAACACCACTGGCAACACCACTGGCATTTGATAATTAAGCATTTACTCTAACACGAAACGTTCTTTCCTTGAAGTAACTTTCTATCCATTTAATTATATTGTCATAAACTTTATATTTTTTTAATTTGAACAAAAACCTGGAGTGGGAAATCGTGTCAAAAGCCTTTTCCAAGTCAGTGTAAAGGATATCTGCACTCATATTTGCATCCAATGTTGCCGTTACCTCATCAACGTGTTTCAAAAGCTGCAATGTGATTGAACGAGAAGGGAGAACCCATATCGTCTGTCTGTGAATAATTGTTTCTTAAAAAATAATTTTTAATATTATAATTGATATAAGCTATAATTGATTTTATAATTTTGCAGCATATTTGAGGTAGTGCAATTGGCCTGTTGGCAATTGGTTGCCAAATTTTTATTACCTTTTTTATATAAAGGTACCACCAGATCTGGCCTCTAATCCTTCGGAATATCACCAGTATTTTAATTTAAACAAAATTCTGGAGTGAACACCGTCAGGACCCAGAGACTTGTTTCGGTTGATTTTTTTCGGTTTATCGTTTACCAACATCTCATTAATAATCAACTCCGGCATACCATTCTCAGGAATCAATGGATCATTAAGAGTACTATCATCTGTAAATGGTAAATCTTTCACAAAAATTGACGATTAAACTAGCAAAATATAAAGTTTGCATTAAAATTATAAAATGGATAGAAAGCTACATAACTGACAGAATATTCCAAGAGTAAATGATCGATTCTCTAGTGCCGGATCAATTACGAGTGGTGTTCTTTATGGAGGTGTGCTCAGTCCGCTACTGTTTGTTATTTATATCAATGTAATATATATTTATTTATTTATGTTTATATCAATGTAATTTATATATGTAATATATTTTTATATGCCGACGAAGCTAAAATATTTTGCTTCTTATCAAATAAATCTAATACTGAGGATGATATTGCGTTGCAAGATTGCTTGAACAACATTATGTGGTGTTTTCAGAGGTGGAGTTTCAATGTCAACATCAGTAAATGGGCGAATGTTTATATCTACGGACTATGTACTAACGGACACATGCTATTACTCACATATCACCTATTGATTTTCAGTTAAAATTTAAAGATCATATCACAGATAAAGGAAACAAACTATATATTGGGAGTAATGGCTAAAAATTTTAAGTGCCTTATCTAATAATGGATTTGTGTGCATTACACAGCTATTGTTTTGTCCCGGTTGAAGTGTGGCGTCTAATAAATGAAATTGAAAAAGTCTTTAGGAAAACTACAAAAATTCCAAGAAAATTGTACAAATTTAAACTATAAATACAGATTAATAAAACTTGACCTACCTTCTCTATCTCTTCTTGGTATCGTATGACTAAAGGAAACTTGATTCTAGTTAATCAGATAGTTCAAAGCCCAATTGACCCAACATTTTGTCCGATTTTTTAACTGTTGATCAGCTATCAATACCAAAACAATAATTTTTGCATATTATTATTTGTGAAAAATTTATTTTGACCATTATAGCTTTTTTTACATGATGAGACGGAGTAATAGCGACGTGACGTCACAACAATATACAAATTTTAATGACGAGTGCATTCGACAAAGGGACATTTGAATTCATATATTAAGTGACCGCGTTTAAACGCTAAATTTTTTCGGAGGGAGCAGTTATTCTTTAAAATTAGATGTGACGTTTTTGAGTTGTTATAGTACATTTCTAGTTTTATTTCATTGCCTGGGTTTGTAGGATTGACATTTTTATTAAATTTTTTTAAATGGTTTCGTCAGTTTTGTATGCATTTGTCGTATGGTTTCTATATTAAAATGGTTTCTATATATCTCCATAATTGTTGATGTTTTGAGTTGTTGATTTGTAGTTTTTTTTTCTTTCGACTACGTCTTCAGTGGAAGATATTTCATAGTTATCATTTATTAACACTTTGGTAATTCTTTTCAATTCGGAAATGTCTATTAAAAAGAGTGTATGAACACTCGATTCACAAATGCTTTTATTGGGCTGACAACTGTTCATAACACTGGTTCACTTTTTTCAAGCAAATTCCTTTATTAGTTTCTTTGACGTATACCGCCGTTTTTGAAAACGTTCTTCTTGGGTGACCATGACATCAAAAAAGGGTTGAGATTTATTTTTTCAAACTCAATAGTAAAATTTATCTTATTTTATGTACTTTTAGTTATCTTTTATATTTTGATTTATTTGATGCTGACGGGAGGTTATGCTCGATTTATAACTTTTAACACTATAATATTAGCAAAATAATAAAAGATTTCCGTTTTTGGGTATTTATAAAATAATTCTGTCTAGGAAGACCGAAGCGCTTTTTGTAGCATATTGTTCAGGACAGACTCAACCCTTTTCAGAAGAAATATTCGATGCAGGTATTGCCAATAAAAGATATACTGTTCCTCTCAACATGAAATATTTTTTTATTGTGATCTTTATGCAAATTTTTTTTGGATTCGTTGAAACATATTTTCATAGATTGGTAAAAATAATCCCACTCCGGTTATAACCGTTTGTATAACTAATTTTTAAACCAATTAGTACAAAATCAATAACAAAAAGGAAAAACAAATCGAACTTTCTAGAGACATTTAATTTTAGATTAAGTCGAACAAAATTTTTATTCTGGAAATTGTCATGAATTTTAAACATTCAACGAGTGGTTTTTTAAAAATTGGTTATTAAAACCGCATCCGCGACAAATAGCAAAATCTCGGTAGTTTTAATAATTTATATCTGTAAACGCGGATGTAGTGCGGTTACCTCAGTTTTCACAAGGCTCTGCATAAATTTAGGTTGTGCCCTCAACATATATTAAAATATGTTATTGAAGTTACAATGATTATTACATTAGTTTGCCATACAAACCTAAAAATTGAAAAGGGTTAATAATTCATCTGTTAAATTATGACAATAATATTACTCATTATTTTTAGCAATTTTTTATGGATTGTTTCTTGTTTAATTTTTATTCGTAAACATAATTGATAGCTTTCAAACGAGGAAAAAGTTCGTCCTCAGCGTATACCGAAACCATTAATAACTACAACACCTGCATCAAATATTAGTTCAGGTTTCGCAACAATGCCTACATCTTTAAACTCTCGACAGCATCAAGTCAGCCAAACTACATCAAACAACATTTCCATGTCTATGTATGCACCTAATCATGAAGAAATTACTGCAAATAATCAATCAACAACGGGTTATAAACCCGAATTAGAAGTTTTAAATGCTGCCATAATACCAACAACTTATGTTGAGACAAGTGGAGTCAACAATTCTTCCGCTACTTTTCCTTCGCAAAATTTAGCAAAAGAGTTTAAAGTTGTCAAACCACCTATTGCAGTTTTTACATCAAAAAATAAAAAACTAACACCACAATCAACGATAAGCACTAGTTCAACATCAGTTTCCTCTACGACATCATCGGAGACGACATCCAATATGACGATGTTAACAACATTCACATCAGCTACAACAATAATTTTAACAACAAGCAAATTAACGGCTCTAACTGTCACACCATCGCCACCAATACCGACACCAATGAATAGCAACGTTTGTTGCGATAATATGTTTCCCATGTTGCCGATTGCATCTCTCAAAGGTCCACGACAGTTGTTTGTTGCAAAACATGGGGAGAGCATCGAGTCAACATTTGGTAGGGATTGGATAGACAACAGTTTCGATCAGTCAGGTTTTGAAAAGAAATTTTTTATCCGTTTATCATTGTTATATAGTCACTTTTTTGAAACTACCTTGATGTTACTTGAGTGATTTTTTTTTCAACTGAACCAAAACTATTTGGGTTGCAGAAAACACAAATGTTTTACCAAAAAATATTTTGTTTCAAATATGTTAACAATGTTAACAATAAGACTTGTTCAAAATTAAACAGTAAAGATCCTAATATTTTTTTTATGAAGATTACAAATCTGTTTAATTTGAAATCTTTTTATCTTTTATTCTATGCAAATTTATTGTTCTCATGTGTATTGATGGCTATTGAAAATGTGTTAATAAATACTGTTAATCAAATAATTTGTTTGCGAAAATATCATCAAACTGTTTTTATTTTATTAGATTTATTTAGTTATTGAAGCTAAATAAGACTACAAAAATATTATAATTTAACAATGTTATTTTACTGGCGGAACATGTTAAATCATGAAATCAGGGATATATACTCGTTATGATCTGAACATGCCTAAGCTTATGCCAACAAGAAGCAGTGGACACCAAGAGTTTAAGAAGGACTCGCCACTTACCGTTCAAGGATGTTTTCAAGCTAGGTTACTAGGTAAAATTTATTATCAACAATTATATCAAGGAAAGTTTTTTATAAATTTAATATTAAAAATATTCGGTTAATCAAAAAATAGGATTTGGAGTATGTTGGAGTCGTAATTTTTTGAGAGGCTGGGGTCGGAGTCGAACCATTTTATCTGACTCCCGAAAGTGTTAACAATTTGAATAAATTTTACATTTAGGGTATAATAAAAAAATATTTTTTAAAGCCTATGTTTTCCATATAATTTTTTGTTTATTATTTTGCAGCTGTAACAAACGCAAAACTTCTTACATGTGATTCTATACTTATAATTAAGCTTTCATGCTGCAAAGGTTGTAGAATCCACACAACACGACGTACACACCTTAAGTATGCACGAGCGTGCGAGCACCGCCTTATGTATGATATGATAGTTTTTGATTTTCGGACAGACAATATTCGAATAAGGCTATCGCGTGATAACAGCGCAAGACATGGCTTTCTTTCTTTTTTGTGCTTTATTCTTTCAAGACATTGGCGACCATCGACCTTGACAAAACCTGATCTTTATCACTTTGTATTAGTTGAAATGTGATGATATTCAACAATTGATACAAGGACTTCACGAATGTTATACTTTGTTGACCGCGATCTCTTTTCCCTGCAATCTTTCCAGTAGTTGTTAGATTTTCCTTTTTTTCCGCATGATGTGACCAAAAAACTTTAGCTGCCCCCGTCAGATTATCTGTAGTAATTTACTCTTTTCATAACCGGACTGTTTTAATATATCCTCATTCGAAGTATGAAAGGTCAAACTAATTTTCATAATTTTTTTCAAAAACCACATCTCAGCAGCGTTAATCTTTTTTTCCATTTCTTTAGTTATTGTCCAGGACTCAGAAGTTAGCAAAAGAAAAATGTGATCGACAAAACATGAAAACAAGTCTTTCGTCAGTTTTAATTTTGCTGATATTCTGATTTTACTGTTGGCAAGGATGTTTTTCATTCTAGAATATGCATCTTTTGCCATAGCTATCCTTTTTTTGATATCCATATCACATTTACAACTTGAGGTAATCAGACTTCAGAGATAATTCAAGCTGTTGATTTGTTTCACTCGTTTACCATTAATGATTATGGAGCAGATCGGGGCTGTTTTGCTTTTACTGACAACCATGCACTTCTTTTGTTGATGTTAATTTGCAAGCCTTTCCTTTCACTTTAAAAAACCAGTTTGGAAACAATTGTTTGCAATTTTTCCACTAAATCTGCTATAAAAACTGTATCATGGGCATATTTTACATTGTTTATATTCACACCTCCAATGAATATTCCCGGTAGAGCTTCTATCTTTTTATGATGATCTCACTATAGAGATTATACAGGTCTGGAGAGAAAACTCAGCCTTGACTAACATCTTTTTTTATTTCGACAAAACCAGTTATTTTTTGCCAACTTTCATCGCTGCTCTTTGGTCCCAATAGATATTTTTGATAGCTCTCGTGTCTTTTCTATCAATGTTTAAATTTTCCAATTTTTCCGTAAGCTCCATGTGTTTCAAGCTGTCAAAAGATTTGGAGTAATCGACAAGTCTTTTTTCATTTCAATCACTCGTTCACTGATCATTCTTAACATAAAGGTAGCGTTTCTTGTGCCATAATTCTCGACAAATCTACATTGGACATTTGAAATTTCATATCGTGCTGTCATCATCAGAATTCTCAAGGTCATAAGATGACTCATCAAGCTGATGATGTAGCTCACATTCTGTTGCATTAGGTTTTTTAGGCAATGCGATAAATATTGACTTGGGTAGATCATCAGGAATTTCGCTGCTGTTATAAATCTCATTTAAAATTTCCGTCACTTTTTCAATGCCAAATTTATCAAGACATTTAATTTCTTCAACAACTATCTCATCTGGACCTGGCGCTTTATTTGATTTCATTCGGCACGAACTTCAGATCTAACTAAGGATCTTTGGTCCTTCTACGGTCTTTTTAATAGGAGGCTTTTAAACACGGTTATCATCAAAAAAATCTTGAATGTATTCAGTCCATCTTTCAAGCACTTTTTCTTTCACAAAGATTACTACACCGGATTTAGCTTTTGTGCATCCAGAAACGGTACAAGCCCTTTTTCCAGTGATTTCTTTTTTATACAATGCATTTGTATTACTTTTTTCGATTTTTTCATTGATTTCGCACTTGTCCTTTGCTTCCAAGCACATTTTTTGATTGTTTTTTCTAGCTTTTTGTAACTATCAGAATAGCAACATTTCTCTTCCCTTCGTTCATCCATCATAGGTACGATGTCATCTTTTATGACCTCTTCTTTGCTCTTTCCTAGGTATAACCTTCTTTGCTGATTCTGTGATGGCATCTCTAAATATTTCATATTTAGATTTATTTACGTCTTCCGTCAATAACTGAAAACGATTCCGTACTTCAACATTATACTTGACCTTTATCTCATCTTTTTGTGACAGACAAAATTCAAACATTTTGAGGCCACTTCACTCTTGATTTTCATTAAACTTTATCCTGATTTTACAAACAACTAGGTTATGATCACTGCCACAATCAGCTCCATTGTAACTTTTGGAATGTAAAACAGCATTTAAAAATCGTCTATATATTGTAATGTAATCAAGCATTTTTCTTACCTTGTCTACGGGACTCTTTTTAGTATATTTTCTTCTTGGGTGATTGTCAAACCAGGTGTTGGTAATAATTTGATAATTTGAAATTCAAATTGTAATTGTAAATTTTTGGATTTGGTTTCGGTTCAGTTCGGATAAATCTATAGTTTGGGTTGTGGTTTGATGTTTAGTTTATTGTGAATAGGACATCGCGTTGTTTATTAAACAATCATTTATTGATTCATAGATAAATGGTTGTAATATATCTAAAAACTCTTTAACAATGAATTTGGAACTAGATCCAATCAACAGATTGTTATTTGAGGATTTCGTTGGTGATGACTAGAGATAATGGATAATAAGTTGCAATTTATTAAATGAATTTAATGAAACAGCTATCTTTTGCCTTGAATCCTACTAAACTATTTTTGTCAGTTATTTCATCTGATTTGCTATGAAAATTACAGGCTGTAATAGGTGCTGCAACATAATCATTTGATGATTTTTTGCCCGAGAATGACGATACGATTTCAATTACTTTTTAGTATTTTTTCGTTCTGCTATAATAATTATAATTTAAAAAAATAATTAAGGCTATGCATACTAAAATGTGCATCACTTTTTAAAAATGCATGCACATATTTTTTTCTAACATAAACAGGCGTAAAAAAATATTTTTAGATAAAACAATTTTTAACACCTTCCGGTGTCGGATTAAAAATTTCCGACTACGGCTTCTCAAAAAACTCCGAGTTCAAATCCGGCAAAAATTTCTTCTTTGATACTCTGAACTGTTTTCATCGCTTGTACAACTCAAAAAAGGCATTTATGGCAAATTTACTATTTAAACATTGCTTATTTGTTACATTTTACATATTTTGATATTCCATATATATATCAACCACACAATTAATAAAATAATATCAGACCCCGACTCTGGCCCTTCAAAAAATTTCGACTCAGAAAAAAAATATTCCAACCGTTGCATCATAATTTATTATATCATCACTATTAACTAAAAAATGCTTTAAAACACAAAAAATAGAAACGTAATTTTGACCATCTTCTCATCATTTATGTTGACCACAAAAATATTACATCATCATTAAGTAGAATTTAAAACTTAAATATAAAATAATTTCACTTAAATATAAAAAAATTTCATGTTTTTTGAGATATGTTTTATTTAGTAGTTTGCATTCAAGTAAAATTAGAAAAAATTGAAGCAAAAATTGACAAAACTTTCCGGGGTGGGAATCCAGAGTCGCAAATTTTTACTTCAATCGATGTGTCGAAGTCTGAAAATTTTTAATCTGACTCCAGTCCAGCAACATAAAAAATAGAGTTTTGAAAGTAATTTACATAAAACCTTTTACGTTTTTACGTTTGGTTGTTTTTATAAATTCAAATACGTTAACACAAAAAATAATCAATCAATCTTCGTTTAGTGTCCAGAAACTCAGTTCCTCGAGGTAGGACGTTGTTTTCTTTGCCATCAATTTTTTTGCACCAAATTAGACAATCAGTTGTATCCATTTCATTTAAATTTAGAGCTTTCATGTCTTGCTCGATTGTTTGCGACCAGGACTTCTTTGGACGGCCTTTGGGACGTGTGCCAGGTATTTCAACATCTGCAAGAAAAGTTATGGCACTGTTTCCACTTCGATTGACATGACCAATCCACCGCAGACGGTGTTGCCGGTATTCGTCCTTTATATCATCTAACTAGCACGACGCAGGATTTCGGTAGATTTGATGTGGTCCTTCAGACTAATTCGTTGCATCCATCGGAGCATTTTCATGGCGGTTCGTTGAAGTTGTTGTTCTAGTTTGGTTGTCATTGGCCATGTTTCTGCACCATATAACATCGCCGGACGTATCACAGATTTATAAAGTCTTGATCGTAGTGGTAGTGGGAGGTCACGCCGCATCAATATAGAGACAAGGAAATGCCATTTATTCCAGGCTGCACGTAGGCGTGCTCCAACGGCTGCTTCAGCTGTTCCAGTACAATCAAGAACATCCCCTAGATATTGAAACGATGTGACTTTCTCTAACTTAATGGCTTCAAAAACATTGCTATTTCGAATTTGTTGTTGTGGATTGATGCAAGCAGGACAAACAAAATTGAACACTTTAGATAAAGTACCAATTATTTTTGAACAACGTTTGTGACACCACTGGCTACACTGCAGACACTTGATTGAATTGTTGCCTACACAAGCTTTACAAACTGAACAGGGCCATCGTCCAGTAGCTGTGGATTGGATGGGTTCACCAGTGTTCATTGCTTTGGTTTTGCTGATGTTGACGTTTGGATAGCTGCAGTACCAGATGCTTTGATAATGTCATTTGTGAGTCCAGAGGGCCCTACTGCTTTTCCATCCTTTATAGCTTTCAAAGCTTCTGTAAGCTCCTCTACAGTGATGTCTGGAATCAGACCTTCGATGGGTAGAGCGTCAAAGTTGACATTAATGGGATTTGTTTCATTTGACAGACGGTTGAAGTATTTTCTCTACTGTAGCTTGATCTCATCATTGTTCAAGAACCATCTCATTTTTGCCGTTTTTGATACATGAGGCACCAACTATGTCTTTTTTCGTACGCTTGTTTTGCTATACGATACAGAGATTTCATTAGTTCACCTTTGCTTTTAGTGAGTTACTCTCTGCACTGATCTATCCGATCCAGTGTGACTTGACGTCTTGCATAGTTGTTCTACTCACGAAAAATTTTTTGGTCATGAACAGACTTTGATTTGTCCCATTGCTTGTATGCAGCTTTTTTTTCAGCTATTGCATTTTGTACACTGCCATTCCACCACCAAGTGTCCCGTTCATGCTGACTTTTTGTACCAGTTTTCCCACAAACTGTAGTTGCAGCGTTTATTAAAACGGCTTTGTATGTACTCCAATCTATACTGGCTTGCGATTGGTGGTCTAACTGTGTGGCGATAATCTGTTGAAATTTTTCTCGATGACTATTGCTTTTCAGCTTCCACGTTTTGATTTTCCGTGGCATTTGTTTAGACTTATGTTGTGACAGTTCGACAACTAGGTCTGCCACAATGAGTGACTTTCAGAAAACTCAAGAATGCGGTTGCCATCTTCATTCCGTTCTCCATAGCCAAAACCACTATGTACGTTGTCAAAACCATCTGTTTTCTCTCCAACGTGGCCATTGAGATCGCCTCCAATCAGGGGATTGTTTCAGATTTTAGTATTGTTGAGATGGTGTCAGAGAATGCAGCCCAAAAGTCATTTTTAATTTTTTCTGATTTGCTTGTCTGGTGCGTATGCAGAAAAAATAGTCATTGTTTGCTTTTCTAGGCTAAGCTTGATCCACATGAGACGTGAATTAATCCTTTTAATATCCAGTACTTTTTGGGCTAGCGGTTCTTTGACAAAAATTCCAACACCATTTTGGCCGTCTTTTGACCATTTCAGAATAGTTTATATTTTTCATTGACTGAGTTGATATAACAGACACCATTCGATTTCCATCGGGTCTCCTGAAGGCAGCAGATGTCAATCCTTCTACACTCGAGCATTTCTGCAATTTCCATGCTGCGGCCAGTCAGTGATCCAACATTGAGCGTTCCAAGTCTATGTACCATAGAGGGGCCATTCTGAATTTTTCTGCAACATCCCTCCGCTATTGCATACTTCCCTGGGATTCTTAGCACCCCTTGACCACTTAAGGTCTGTTGGGGACTAGGGGCTTTTTTTTTGATGGCATAGAATAATTTGGGGAAAGTTTTTACATCCTGACACCCATCCTGACGACAACCACTTTGTCATGCCCAGGATTATGAACACTATAACACAAACAATAATGAAGTGATTAAATGTTCATCTAACTTTAAAACCTTTTGAAAACTAAGCATCGTGTTTTCTAACGTTTTGTTTGAGGCACTGAAAATTTTCTATTGTTAATGCATGACATTGTTCAGATGACATGACAGACTAGCAGAACTTTCCAATTTTTCATGCTATGAACAATGTTATTCTATAGATCATAATTTACGTGATCCAATTTATTAACTACATGTCTTTTGTTTAATGTCTTGATTATTCGTTTTTAAAACGATGCAGGTGGTTTTGTAATAACGCCTTAAATCAATCAATCAATCTTCGTTTTGCGTCCAGAGACCCAGTTTCCCGAGGTAGGACGTTGTTTTCTTTGCCATCAACTTTTTGCGCCAAATTAGACGATCAGTTGTATCCATTTCATTTAAATTTAGAGCTTTCATGTCTTGCTCGATTGTTTGCGACCAGGACTTCTTTGGACGGCCTTTGGGACGTGTGCCAGGTACTTCAACATATGCAAGAGAAGTTATGGCACTGTTTCCACTTCGTTTGACATGACTAAACCACCTCAGACAGTGTTGCCGGCATTCGTCCTTTATATCATCTAAACCAGCACGACAATGATTATAATGATGATGATAATTATTAACCTTCAAAATTGACAAACTTCAAAATTTGACATGTTTTTAAGGTGAAGCACTCAGAGATAAGAGAATTCGACCAGTGCACATTTATACGTCACCTGCTTTGAAGTGTATTGAATCTGCTGTTTATTTGCTAGAAGGTTGGTCATCAAATTTAATTTTTCAGTTTTTCACGCTTTAGAACCAGCTTGATGATTATTCATTGAATTTCATTTATTAGCTGATTAATAGGTGTTTATTATCTACATATTTTGACTGTACAATTTTTTAGATTTAAAAGTTTACTTTCAAAAAAACGTGTATATTTGCCTTGTTTTGGTTTTAATTAAAGTATAAATTCTCCATCATTTAAAACTTTGCAAGTTGTGAATATTAATTAGGGTTAAACAGTCAGACGTCATCATCTTCGTTAAACAACACACTGACCATAAAAGTTGAACCTGGATTGTTTGATTGGTTGGGTTTCTATCCTGGTGGTCTCCCGAAATTCATGTCATTTGATGAGTTGGTTAGTAATGGATACAGAGTAGATGATAGTCACGTGACTGTTGTGCCAACCAATAAGTTAATGTGCGAGGAAACTGTTGATCATTTTTATGAAAGATGCTATGTTGTCACTAAAGAATTGTTAAAGAGGCATGAAAATGAAGGTGATTTTATGGAAATTTTTTGTTACTTCCCTTTTTCAATAAATAATCGTTTTTAATACGTTTATAACAAAATTTTAGTAAAAGTAGGTTTATTTAAATTGTTTGGTAAGATTTTGAATTTTGCCCTTTTATACAATTTTAAGTTTTAGTACGTTTTGTTTAATTTAGTTCTAGTTGTGAATATATAATTCATGCTTCATTTATTTAAATTGAAAATAAAATACATGTATGTATAGAACCAAAATTATAAGTTTAAAAGTTAACATAAAATTAATCAAAATACGAAAGATGCACAAAAGTATATAAAATAAGATACATATACATAACCTATAATCAAAATTAGTTTTAAAGTTAGCTTCAAAATTAAATGATTGTTCTAGGATTTATATTCTATTGTACCTAAAGATACACACGGCAATAAGTGAAAACACAAACCAATCAATCATGTATGTAGCCCAATTTCCAAAGATTCAACTGGTGGACTCAACCTAAAATTCACAAAACAAACAATTATGAAAAAGTACAACAAATAAAATTGAAAAAGCGATAAGACAATAAACTAATATATATATATATATATGTGTGTGTGTGTGTGTGTGTGTGTGCGCGCGCGCGCGCGTGTGTGTGTGTAGAATTTTCGTCGTCGTCGACGACGCCGTGAAGGTTGCCGCGGCGTTCCCTCTTACCGCTTCTTCCGTCGACACGCTCGTCGTCGCCGCTGTCCTCGCTGCGACGGCGATCGTCGACGCGGTAGGGTCGGTGTCGGTCATCAGTGCCGTGGCGATCGTACACCTTCGCTTTCATCACGCGATCGGTCGCTTCCCTGGCCGGGACTCGTCGGTCTACAATATCTCCTACAGACCTCAGGGTCGGAATATACGGGCTGGGCGAAAGAGATGTTTCTCCCTTCCTGTCGGGCGTTCGGACCGACCTTTCCGCACGCTCACAAGTCTTCTCTCAAGCTTTGCGTCATTTCTTTATTATTATTTTATTTATTAAAACAGAAACAACGTTACGGATTAGCCTTTATTATAACTATTTTCGACAACGATCAATAATTCAAAATAACTAATTCAATAACCAAATCATACAATAATCCAATAATCTAGAATAATCAACCGTCCTAATGTCAACTCCGGCACAAAAACAACAGAACGAAAAAAAAGGGCTTAATTTATTTGTGCCGGCCATTTATAAACTTGCACGGCGCTCTCTCCTAGATAAGCAGCTCGTTCTTTGGGTTAGTAACCAACCCACGTGACCATACGGCGCTCTCTCCTAGGTAAGCACCCGTGAAATGCTAGTAATGTGACCATAACCATCAAATTTTACATATATATATATATATATATATATATATATATATATATATATATATATAATTGATCAATTAAACAAGTAATAGATAAAGAAAGTATACAAAAAACAGACAAGCATACAAAATTAAACAAATAATTAAACAAGCCGCTAATTAATAAAGTAAGCGTACACAAAATTAAGTAATAATCAAACAATGCCAAACCAAGAAACATTTCAATACACTCATCATGCCAATCTATGAAACATCTTAAAACACTCGCCACGACAGTCATTTCATTCAAGTAAAGTGCATATTAAATTAATAAAACTTAACAATCATGTTGTTGTAACAATTTGTTATTGCTGTAACAATTTGGCGCTCGTTACTACCTACACCAATGTTATAACTTCAATGATTTCTATATTTCCAATACCAGTGTTGTAGCTTCCAACGATCGTCAAGTTATCGTTATTCCGTAGGTTCAAGATTTCCGATAGATGAACACAACCGCTTCAAACGCAAACTTTGTTGAACGTTTATTCGAATGCTACTTGACTTTCTTATTTGTTCTTAAAATTCAAAGATTACAAATACAGCAAATATAACAAATATTATAGCGCAATTTAACCGTTACAGGGGTTATAACATTATCCCCACCTTAGCTTCTTAGTCCCTAACATAGGCGTTATTTCCTTACTCTTTGCCCGTTGTCTTTCGTGGTCATAGGTCCTGTAGATCACGTTATTTATCCTATTAATGACTTTTTTCTGATATTTCCAATTCCGTGAAAGTTTTGCCGGGCATCTCCTTTTTCTGCGCCGTAGGTAGTACTAGGTCTTTGTTCTTGAAACCCACGTTAATCCTTTTTGGTTCACGCCACGTTCCCATTGCTTTTGTTCCTATAGTCATAGGCAGACGCCGTGGTTCTTTCTTGATTTTGTTGGCACTTGAAGCAAGTGCAGTCTTTCTACTGATTTTACGAAGTTTTAAATGACCAAACGAAAAGCTTAGCCGCATGTTTTAATATTTGCTGTTGACATCATTCCTGCCGATCATTGATGGAGCGATACAAATTTCATCCTCATCAGCAATGAAGCCGTCGTTAATGTTATCATCCAGGTAGACGAGAACCAAACTCTTTTTCCAGGTGCATGTTGGAAGGGTTATCTCAAAACATGAAACATCATCTGTCACCACTTCGTGTCTGTTGTCACTGTTGGCAAGGCAAGCTGCTGGCAGCAAGATCCAAATGATAGTCCCCATGCATATCAAAAGTGTTTGTGTTTTTTTCACTGCTAACTTTTAGGATATTTCCAAGACCTTCGTAGGGGTCTTCGTCATCTTCTTCAAAATAAAAAGCATTCAAAAAGATGGTAATAGATAAATAATATGTACACATTTTTGTAGACCTTGAAAAAGCATTTGATCGAGTTCCCCGTGAAGCAATCAGGTGGAGTCTACGTCGACAACTCATTCCAGAATAACTTGTTCGACTTGTGATGGAAATGTATACGAATATTAAGACACTCGTCAGCACAACGGTTGGAAACACAGATGAATTTGACATCGGATTTGGAGTTCACCAAGGCTCGATTCTCAGTCCACTGTTATTTATAACTGTGATGGAAAAAATCACAAAGCCGATACGCACTGGTGACATTTGATAATATTGTTTTAACAGCCACGTCTGAGCAGAATGCAGCACGGAGTCTACGTCGACAACTCATTCCAGAATAACTTGTTCGACTTGTGATGGAAATGTATACGAATATTAAGACACTCGTCAGCACAACGGTTGGAAACACAGATGAATTTGACATCGGCGTTGGAGTTCACCAAGGCTCGATTCTCAGTCCACTGTTATTTATAACTGTGATGGAAGAAATCACAAAACCGATACGCAGTGGTGACATTTGGAATCTAATATATGCTGATGATATCGTTTTAACAGCCACGTCTGAGCAGAATGCAGCACAGATGTTTGAAGATTGGAATACCAGACTCGCCGATCATGGATTCAAAGTCAACATCAGCAAAACCAAAGCAATGAACACTGGTGAACCCATCCGATTCACAGCTACTGGACGATGGCCCTGTTCAGTTTGTAAAGCTGGTGTAGGCAACAATTCAATCAAGTGTCAGCAGTGTAACCAGTGGTGTCACAAACGTTGTTCAAAAATAATTGGTACTTTATATAAAGTGTCCATTTTTGTTTGTCCTGCTTGCATCAATCCACAACAACAAATTCGAAATGGCAATGTTTTTGAAGCCATTAAGGTAGAGAAAGTCACATCGTTTCAATATCTAGGGGATGTTCTTGATTGTACTGGAAGAGCTGAAGCTGCCGTTCGAGCACGCATACTTGCAGCCTGGAATAAATGGCATCTCTTTGTCTCTATATTGATGCGGCGTGACATCCCACTACCACTACGATCAAGACTTTAAAAATCTGTGATACGTCCGGTGTTGTTATATGGTGCAGAAACATGGCCAATGACAACCAAACTGGAACAACAACTTCAACGAACTGACATGAATCAATCGAAGTGGAAACAGTGCCATAACTTTTCTTGTAGATGTTGAAGTACCTGGCACACGTCCCAAAGGCCGTCCTAAGAAGTCTTGGTCGCAAAAAATCGAGCAAGACATGAAAGCTCTAAATTTAAATGAAATGGATACAACTGATCGTCTAATTTGGCGCAAAAAGTTGATGGCAAAGAAAACAACGTCCTACCTTGGGAAACTAGGTCTCTGGACGCAAAACGAAGATTGATTGATTGATTTTACTTAAATTGATACGTAGATTATTTGAAACAACCCAATCGTAAATAAAATTTAATTCTTAATTAATTACCGAAACAAGTACATTAAAATCCGAATGAGAAGAGTAGTGTCATCAGCAAATAAAATAAATTTTAAAATAGAAGTGTAAACAAAATCATTAATATAAATATTGAAAAGTAAAGGGCTCAAAATAGAACCTTGAGGAATACCCGATTTAATAAGAGACAACGAGGACATAGATCTACCAATAGAAACAAATTGAGAGCGATCATTTAAATATGACGAAAGCCAATTATAAGCTAAACCACGAAAACCAAATGAATATAACTTGTACAATAAAATACTGTGATCTAAAGTGTCAAAAGCTTTGTAAAGATCTATAAAAACCCCAATAGAGTATTTTTTAGATTCAAGTGCATGAGAAACAAAATTAATAACGTCTGAAACAGCAAACTCAGTTGACAACTTTTCACGGAAACAATTTTAAAATTTATTATGACGATTTAAAATAATTTTTTCAATTAATTTTGACAAACTAGAAAGAACAGAGATAGGGCGATTATTAATAATAGAATGACGTTCACACTTTAGAAATTTTCAGACAATTAGGGAAGTGACCAGTTTTAAAAGATAAATTAACTAAATGAAGCAAATTATTATTAGTAGTACATTATTTAAATTATGTAATTGTCATCAATGTGGGCTTAGGAACATTATTATTTTGCCTATTTATTTTATTCTTCATTATAATAATGATAACAACCACATTTTCTATATTTTACATCACTTCCCATACATTACACCATTCATACAACTCATCCAGGCATGTTTGAACATTTATTTCATCATAAGTAGAAAGAACATACATTTTTTAAAAATTTAGCATCATCAGCTTTCGTAAACATTTCAACATCAC